AACATCACAGATGGCCTTCTGACACCTACAACTTCATGTCTCACCACTACAACTGCAGCTACAACACTTGCCATTACAACAACACAAGTGACAACTCCAGTCCCAACTACAGCAGTTACAACACCTGTCATTACAACAAGAGTAACAACTCCAGTCCCAACTACAACAGTTACAACACCTGTCATTACAACAGAAGTAACAACTCCAGCCCCAATTACAACTACAACAACAGCTACAACACCTGTAATTACAACAGAAGTGACAACTCCAGTCCCGACAACAACAGCTACAACACCTGTAATTACAACAGAAGTAACAACTCCAGTCCCAACAACAACAGCTACAACACCTGTCATTACAACGTTAACAAGAGTAACAACTCCAGTCCCAACTACAACAGTTACAACACCTGTCATTACAACAGAAGTAACAACTCCAGCCCCAATTACAACAACTACAACATCTGTAATTACAACAGAAGTAACAACTACAGTTCCAACTACAACAGCTACAACACCTGTAATTACAACAGAAGTGACAACTCCAGTCCCAACAACAGCTACAACACCTGTAATTACAACAGAAGTGACAACTCCAGTCCCAACTACAACAGCTACAACACCTGTAATTACAACAGATGTAACAACTCCAGTCCCAACAACAACAACAGCTACAACACCTGTCATTACAACAGAAGTAACAACTACAGTCTCAGCTAGATGCAAAAATCCAGGTAGGTGTTAACTGTATCTATCTTCATCTGTTGATAATAGTTTGTATATAATTTTTTACTGAATACCATGAAACAAGTCTATGACGTAATTTTAATTAACTATCTGTATACTGAATAGTTGTAAACATGCCATAGCTGGAAATTGTCACATAAATGTGTCATTTATGATTATACTGTCAAATGATCATTCATTCATTCATTCCATTCATTTATTCATTCATTCATTCACGATTATATATGACATTATTACGTACAAGCACCCTATTATCATCATTAAGCAATCAAATGGGGTGGTGGTGGCTAAATTTGAACATTCCTGATTGAGAGCAGATTTTTATACTCGTCTCATCATTCATATGTATATTGTGTTTGTTACCATAGAGTCCATTCACACAGCTTTTATTTGCATTCAAAATATATTTATCTAACATAATAGTAAATTATGCTGTTAACAATGTGGTATTTTGCTTTTCAGGGGAGGAATATCCTTGTTTTACAGTCTGCAAGAGTGAGACAAGCATCAAGAAAACACTTCCCAGTGACAGCTCATCCATTGTAGTTGATTTCAGTCAACATGTCACGGCTGTCAATGAAAATGGACTCCAAACTGTTCCAATTAGTGATGATTATGAGTTTCCAGAGAGCAGTTTGGATGCTTTGGATGGTGATTTCTTGAGCAAAACCTACACATTTAATGCAATATTCACAATAGACGGATTGCCGGACAGATTCTGTTCAATCTCCATTCATCTAACAGGTTTGAAACAGATTTCAATTCTTTCTGTTATTTGTGGCACTGTGAAATTATGATTCCAAGATTATATTTAACATTATAATTATACATGTATATTAATATTATATATAGTATTTCCAAAGCATGATGGTATGATAAGTGGCTATCATTGGTGGCCTGATTTAAAAACTCCAAATTGGCTTCATGGATGAGGTTAAGTAACCTATAGTTAATGATACATGAGTATTGTATGTATATTGGAAGTCAATTCCAATTGGTTATCAGTGTTGCCAATTCCTTATGAAACTGGTAAATACCGGTTATTATAATAATTTATTGGTAATTGTCACAAGCATGTAGAAGTTGATATATCTGCTTCCTTGTATTCTGAATCAAGGAAGCAGAAATATTTCAGCTGCATCTGAAGTGCTATTTTGTGATCAGATATTGCTATTTTTAATACATTTCATTTTTATTTTGCAGACAACACCCCACCAACAGCCTCTTGTCCAGAGGTACCAGTGATCCTTGAAGGAGACGAATGCTCTGAAGTTGATGTTTCAGAACATTGCAACAGAGATTGGTTCACTGACAATGTGGGGATTCCTGAAAACATCTGTGATGCTGATAAGGCATCTTCCACCGGTTTTGACGTGCTTCCAGGTATACCTACAACTGTGGAGTGGCAAATAAGGGACATCAGTGGTGTCAGTTCAGAAGATGAATGCACCATTGAATTTGTCTGCCAAGGTAAAATAGTTTGGTCTGGAGACCATAATATTTTCCTTTAACTTCTGAGTTTCTCATCGCATTAACTGTGTACATGTATACAGTAATTGTAGCAGTAACATCAAATTTTATGCATTGACATGTTATTTTCTAGGAATTTCAGTTCATACCCAAAGCCATGTGGTAGGGCAGTGATGATGAAAGCTCCTTTAACTTTCTGTTGGCTACTGTTGTACAAAAATATTTGTAGATTTTAGAAAGCTACCAAATTTTGGTAATTGAAAAAAGATTATGCAAAATTTGCTCTCAATTTACTAAGTATGAACATTTCAAGCAAGGATTCATGCACAACATGTGCATAATGTTATCAGAATCATATCATGCATGCATTACAATTGACTCTATATTTACTATCATAGTAACACTGTATTGTTAATTGATATGTGATGTAATGTCATACCTGGAGCAACATTTGTTAGGAGATAGTCTAGCATTTGACCAGAGTTTGAGTCCTTTAAATATTGTTTTCCACATTTTGGGCTTTATTTTCAGCTCTAGCTCCAGAGTGTGAGAACCTACCGACAATACCCAAATTTGGTGCTCTGGCCTGTGGGAAGAAAAAGCAAGGAGGCCAGCAGTGTGTCCTTTTCTGCCATAAGACAAAATTAATGATTTTGTCAGATACACTGTCGACCAACTTGATCAACTGCAACGGTGAGGAATGGGACCAAACATTGGGCGGCAGGAGCTGTGATAGAGGTAAGGGACAGCCAGTTATAGATACACGTACTTCAATAAGTGCATTTGGATCATTTGATCAGTCAATCAGTTTATCAATTGAAGCAATACAATTTACATTGTGACCTTTATGTTAATTAGCTATTTGCATGTAAGCTGTTATTAATGTGCATTTCCTTTGAATTTGTGTTTGACATCATGTTTGACATGTTATTGCCATGTTTGTAAGCCCACATTTCTTAGTTATTCATCAGAAAGACAGCCCAACTCCTACCCCAGATTTGAAGTGAATATTATTAGAAATGAAGCTCAATGTAGGTGCTGTCTTATAAAAAAGGAGCTGACAATGAAACATATTACCCTTCCCCATGACAGTTGGAAATGGTTTACAATGTATTTGATGCAGAGGACTGGAAAAAACACTTTTTTATTGCAATGTGATAGAAGCCTTGACAATGTAACTATGACATAGTTGTATCTGGTTGATATTTTGATTCTTGATTTCTTGTTAACGTTTTGAGGAACTTAAATTCCTTGCATTGTATGTTAGAATCATTTCAGTTTACCCATTCGTAACTTATTTCTACAGTAACTAAACCTGGAGCCACAGAGAAATATGTCAACTTCTCATTTTCAAGCAAGAAATGTGAAACTAATCCAGAAGAGTTTGAGGAACATATCCTTGAAGTACTCTACAACTACCAAGAAGATCATGATCTTGCATGCAAAACAAGTGAAAATGACATTAACAAAATCTGTGATGCCAAGATTAAATTCCACTGTGGCAGCAAAGTAAATAATCGACGCAGACGACAGCTGGCAACATTTATCACAAATGTAACCATCCACTTTGGAGTATCAGAGTCATTCTCATACACTGGTGATGAGACTGTTGTCGAGGCTCAACTACTGGCACTTAATACTTGGGTCCAAAAGACAGTTGACATACTGCAAGCACTGGTCACATCAGGAAACTTCACCATCATCATGAATGGAACAGTCTTCACTGCTGACCCCCAGTCTTTCAGCTCATCCCCACTGCAAACCGTGTGCAGAAGTGGACAAGTAATCGTCGGCAGTAGATGTTGTAAGTACGGCAGGAAAGAATGGGTGGTATGGAACGAGAATATTGTACTGGGGAAAAGTGCAGAGACGTTTTTCTTCAGTGGAAATGAAAAAAAAATTAGAAAGTGAAATATATGCAGATTCCATGATTATATCATGAAATTCAGCAGCAGAGTTAGTCATTGTTTCTGCTTTTCTCAATTCTGTGTCATAATCACTTCAGTCTAACCTAAACCTGGTAAATGTCAAATTGTAAAGCAACAGCCAAATATCTGAGACTTTATCTGAGTTTTAATTCACGTTTTACTGTGATCGAGTGATTCTTTCACTGTATATTCAAGTGATTTGGGGGACAGAAAGGAATCAGTACAACCTATTTTTGATTGTAGCAGCCACTGATTGCCTTCATAATCCATTCTTACTTTACAGATCCCTGCCCAGCTGGTTACCACCATGACAGTTTGAACAACACCTGCCTGTCCTGTCCCTATCACACCTACCAGGAACAGGAGCAACAAGTCACCTGTCTTCCCTGTCCAAATGGCACCATCACAATCAGAGATGGTGCTGTTGGCTTAGAGGAATGTAAGTAGTTCTCAATTTTTGTGTGCACCTGTTGCATGGCTTCTGCTGTGGAGTGTATTTAACATGCATGTATGGTGCAGCTTTAATGGTGAAATTACCTTGTTTACAACATCTGCTACAAGACTCTGTAAGTAATGTGCTAATAATTGGTCTCTGCAGTTTTTATTTTAATTTTAAATGGATGTAAATACTGTAGTACAGTACATACATTAAGGAGTTTACCTCCTCAAGAAGATCACGATCTAAATTGTGTGTTCCTACATTTGTCAATACATGTGAAAGCTAACTTCAATTGTGGTGCAAAGCCTGCATGATTGCTTGCAAAATCATACTATACTTAGAGTAATATTTCATTTTCATTACTTCTAGAAGATAAACAGTTCGTGGTAAATTCCCAGTAACAAATTCAGGTTTTCATGTTTTAAAATTTTTAAAGCCATTCCAAGATAAGACAAATTGTTTACACATTTGAAGAACACTAAAGTCTTGTTTTTTACATCCTGTGCAGGTATCCCAGGACTAGTGGATAGCACATCTCATCTTTCCCCTAAAGTGTTCCTTGCACTGGGGTTCATCTTTGGCTTTGCTATAGGTGTATTAGCCCTGGCACGCTACTGCAAAAAGCAAAAGTCTAATAAGGTAACCACGGTGAAGCCATTTGTACCCAAGAATGACCTGCAACAGGTTATTGGAAATGATGGGCACGCGCACGGTTATCCTTTGAAAACTAAAGACAAGGCAACATCAGACTGGGTAATTATCCCAAAAACTTTGCCAAAAGGTAACAAAATCACACCGGGTCCCATGCATCTGTCAGCATGGGACACTTGTTGCACGGACCCGAAAGCTTCAATGGATCCTGGTCGTGTGTTGTTGCCGAGAACACCTATCCCACCTAATAAGATAGTAGTACGTGACAAAGGCACACCTCCCCCACAGGTGCCCAACATTGTAGAGTCAGACTGCTGAGGGAGCAACTAACAACTGAACTGAATGCTGTTTTATTCTGTACATATAAATGTATCTATTGTTTATATTTGTTGACATGCATGCTCAATGGATTCTTGAGCTGCAGGACTACATTGTAAGTGTTGCAGTTTGAATGTTGGTACAGTGTGTGAGAGTGTTGACAATTGAGACATTGATACTCATACATTATTCAGAAATAGTCCAGCAGATATAATGTTACCTTAAGTTTATACTACTACACAGGAGTTGTCGTGATTGAAATAAAGTAAATGTGTATGGATTAAAGCCATATATGCCATACGTCAATTCCTGCTAAAACATGTTCAATAGCAGGTGTTAGTATACAAGAAAGTGTCATAAAAATAATATCAAAGCACATATCTCTCTTTGCCATGGATTTATCTATAGTCTAAAAAGTTGCTGTGTTTAATGAAGTGGTACAAACCTTGTAACTTTAAACATGTTGTATTGGTGTTGCTGCTGTTGTGGGAATACGTTCAATAAACGAGACTCACTCTGATGATAAGTGCTTGTTGTCTGTGTCTGTTGCAACAAGTGTTCTGGGATATTTCATGAAAACTGGTCACTCGAGAAAAAGAATGTTGAGGAAGATTCTGCCCCACCAAGATATGCTATAGTCTGTAGAAAAAGAAATTGTAGATTTCAGACTTCCTTGATGCGGGACCAGGGCCTGAGGGAAATAGAGAATGAATTTGTCAGTTTCATTTTCTTTACAAAAGCCCCAAATGCATCATTTGGAGAATTATTGTGAACATGTTATGATTTGTTGTGATCAACAGTCCAAGATCGAGAATTGAAAGGGGGCTTGTGGTGGTAGGACTTGAGGTCTGGATCAGAATGTTCCTTTCCTTCTCTTCCCTCCCCTCCATCTATATGAATACTTGTAACTTCATCTTTACACACCTTTACCGGAGACTATGAAGGTTCACTCAGCATTAGCATGTCCGTATCCCAGATGTACGATCATGACCTGGGCCTCAGCCGTGGGTTTTTCATGTAGGCCACACCATGTAACACTTGTCTACTGGTTTATGTATTTTTGTATGTGTAAGTAGAGTGCCTAGCTATTAATCCTCAGAAAATATGTGAATAAAAAGTGATAAATAAAGATCTTGTTGATACACAGGCTTCTATGTATTATATACTGTTATATATGTACTAAAACTCACTTTCCATGGGTGTTGCGCCAAACAAAACGTCTAGTGTTGTGGCCAGAACTGCAATACATGGAACTGATGGTGAGTTCAGCACCAAGGAGAGGTCCACACTTATGATTAACAAATGGGGGGGGGGGGAGGGGCATCCACAAGTTTGCTGTGGCAGAAGGTATCCTGATCGTTGGGTTTGGCACAGAAAGAAAGTCCAGAATTATGTGGCTAGAATAATTACTCTTGATTGGTGGTGGAATGGTGATGGTTAATTAGAGCAATGTAATCGTACGCACCCCTATCTAATTATCACATATGGTACGGTCCGTTCGACCAGCTGTGCAGCACAGCTGTGTGGAGCACGCTGTCGTCTGGCGTGTCGTGCGTGAATTCTCTCCAACTTTTGGGGTAAATTTTCGGCTTTTTGTCCACAAATTATCGGTCTAAAGTGTATAGTATATCATCTGAACGTTTCCATGTCGGATTTATGCCGTTCTTTGGATGTTTGGGGGCGGAATGACGGAGGAAATGCGTTTTTCCTGGCAGGGCGAAGTTTGGACAAGAAACGATGGCGACTGCCATGGCGGGAAGGACGGCGTGGTCTTGAAGTAGATTTGCTCTTGCGAGGTAAGACAACAAACTATCTCCTTGAATGTGCATGTTTATACTTCCAACCAACGTTATAATTATATTCGCTATGTTAACCGTTAAATTCCGTAGAAATTCTGTTGTTTTTGGCCATAATTTTTGCACTTGAGTTTTTGATAGGGAGGTTGTTTTCTTGACTATCATGGTCTTGGGAACACTGAATATATCTCTTCCGTGTTGAGTGGCATTTAAAAACGGGCATTGAAAAGGCTAGGAGAAAAAAATTTTCGCTGCTAAAAACGGTTACAAACACGTTTTGGTTTGTTGGAAATTTCCGTAGTACTTTTGGCCCAGTGAACACCTTTTGGAACGTAACGTTACCGCACGTGTGCATAATTAAACCCACTCAACGCTCCCGCCAAAAAGGCCGCGTAAACAAGACTTCCCAGCAAGGATAAAATAACTGGTAGCATGTATTATCCACTTCTGAGCACCCAAAATTAAACCTGTGCACAAGTGAAAATAGTTATTTTTTTCAGGTGTATCTTTGCTTTTGAATCAGAGGTTGTCACATAATTTTGTCATATTACTGGATTTTATACTTAATTACCAAATTGTACATGTATCTGGTATTGTAAAATAAGTTATAGTGTCAAGCAGTCACTTTGGTTGCACTGATTTGATTTTGAGGATGAACAATGCAGTCTTGGTCCTTCTTGTATAATTTATAGATATTAGTATGTATATCTCGTTTTAGGACATTGTCTGAATTATATACATGGCCGCGCTGACACGCCAAAAACAATACCTCCAGTTTTCATGGAGGTAATCAAGGATAGCCAATTGTCAATCGGTTTACCTTTGTTATACCATGATGTTATTGTATATCATGCATTGTGCATATGATTTGGGATTCACATAAATGTTTAGTACGGAAACCGTGTTGAGTAAAATTGGAGAAGGTTCTGGTGTTTGCCTATAGTAAATGTTTCATAGTCGCTGTACTGAATAAATGATGTGTTACAGTAATTTGTTACAGACACTAGTGAGTGAAACAGGCCGATAGTTGGATGTGTCACTCCAGTCACCTTTCTTAAATATTGGGTGTATAGCGATTGATTAAATATGCAATGTAGGATGGGACTGATCTCAATGGCATCGTACAGGGGATTTGATCAGGTCCACAGGCTTTGCAGGGGTTGATACCTAGCAGTAACTTTTTACTCCTTCAAAGGTGACATTTATTAGGGGCATATCTTCATAGGGACTGCTACCTAGGTCTAGGTTAGTTAATATGTTTTCTTCTGTAAATATTGAGTCATACTGTTGGTTAGTATTTCCACTTTCTGTCGGTTATCTCAAATGAGGTCATTCTGATGTTTTAATGGGGCAATCCCTCTAGCTGTCTGCTTTCTCCCTTTGATGTAGTTCCAGAATTTTTTAGGATTTTCCAAGGATTCACTCATAATGTGGTTGAGATATTTATTGTGGGCCTTCCTAATCTTCTGTTTTGCTTTTTCTACGGTGCTTGTTGAAACTATCCCAGTCTAGTTCGCTCATCAATTCTTTTGCTCTTTTATACAGCTTCTTTTTCTTCTTGATTGCTCTTTTTAGTGCCGCAGTCAACCAAGGACAGTGGTATTTATCTGAAAGGCGTTTTTTTTTGTGGGAATGCTTTGCCATTGTTTTTTTTAGTCCTTTAGTGAAATATGTCCAGTTATCCTTAACACTGAATTTGGAAGGTGTTCTTTCCTGGAAATGTTTTGCTAAATTCTCCAGATCTTTTGAAAGCACTGTTTTATTGACTTTCTTGTTGAGGTACACTACACGAGGTTTCTTTCTAGTAGCTAATGTATTTGTTATGTGCAGTTTTTAATACAAGTACCCAATTAGATAAATAAATCAATGTATAAACTGTTTTCCTTGACAGAGAAACAAAATTCTGTGTCATATGAAATTGAAAGGAAGAATAGGGCGTATTCACGTGACGTCATCACCCTTGCCCCCCGCGTGGCGCCATGTTGAGGTACATCCCCCACTCGGCAATATTTTTCCTGAATTTACCTGAACTGCAGAGATGTTCCCGTATATCTCTGCAGTCAGAAGCTTGATGGCGGGTAACCTCTAGTAGCTCCTTCGTGGAACACAGTCTTGATGTAGCTGTCAATATGATACTACTCTTGAAGCTATTGACACTGCTCTGATGAACTACTAGTACTTTGTCTGGTAGCTGATTCTATGCTGGAACTGTTCTTACTGCAAACAATCTTTTTATGATTTCCAGTTTCGCTGGGGGGGGATTTTTAGTCTTAGGCTGTGTCCTTTCGTGTTGTGTGGGGTGATCAAGGGGTGGAAAAGTCTTTTTTTCAATACCTTCATATCCTTTAAGGATAACCTTTAAGGATTTTAAATACTTCCTGCATATCCCCTCTGAACCTTCTGGCTGCTAGGCTTGTCAGTCCCATCCTTTTTAGTCTTTCTGTGTAGGATAAGTCTTGTAGCTCAGAGATCATTTTACTGGCGCTACTTTGGACTGCCTCAATGAGGTCTATGTCCTTCTGTAACCATTGTGACCAAACTTGAATACAGTACTCAAAATGTAGTCTAAGTTTTTTGTATAGTCGAGTTATAATGTTCACTATGCTCCTACGGCACATGTTTTTGATAATGCCCAGAATTCGGTTGGCTTCCTAACTACCTTCGTCACCTGCTGGGCTGGTTTCAAGGATTGATCAATGTAGGCACCGAGATCTTTCTCTAGGTTAGTTTTACTAATGGGAACTCCATGCACGTAGTATGTATGTTGGGAATTGTTATGACCAAGGTGGAGAATTCCACATTTGACCCCATTGAATTTCATTTGCCAGTCTTTCTCCCATTTGAACCGTGTCTATATCGTGTTGTAAAGCATTTCAGTGTTAATTTCTTGCTATAGTTTGGTATCATCTGCGAAGTTGAGACTCTGAGAGTTTATAGCTGTATCCAGGTCGTTTATGTACATTAAAAACGTAACAGGCCCAGGATCCTTGAGGGACGCCGCTGGTAACTTTTCTTTAACTTGAGCACACTCCGTTTATTACCATTTTCTGTGATCTCCCTTCCAACCATGCATCCATCCATCCAGCCACTTTGCCTTCTATCCATTGGCTCTGATTTTTAGCGACAGTCTCCAGGGTTCTAGCTAGGATTTTATTTTAGCGTAGTGGGGGTGAGCGACCGAAGGCAAGGGAGTGCATGGTGCGGAGCTTTTTTAAAATCTGAGCAAAAAATTGGCCATTTTAAAGGTACCAGAAGGGGAACTGTAACAAATTTGTATGTTGTGTGACATAATTTCTTGCAAGGCTGATTGCTGTTTTCTATACATTGACTAAATTTTGTTTCTCCCGTCTTCAAGATGTGGACCCGAAGCCTGGTCTGAGCGGAAGGAAGAACCAAACTTTTATCAGCAGAGCTGTGTGAAAGAAGATGGGGAGGAGTGAGTATGGTTTCTTTATTAACACGAGACAACACTCCACATTCCTTGAGGTGCACACATGTACACTCACGTTTCTCTTTTGCCCAATTGACACTTTACCCTGAGGGTCTGCATGCCTTTTTTCCGTGAGGAGCCCTTTTAACTGTGTAATCAGTTGGAAACGTAATTCTTCGTTAAGCTTCACTGAAAATTTGATATCATGTAGTTGAGCATGCCTAATCACCCAAAAATTGTCAACCTTTTTTACACTTAAAATTCTGTAGACATGAAATTGATTGAAAGCCCCCAAAACCTGTTGGTCAATTTTCCCGCCAAAAAAAACTTAATTGGCACCCTCACCTGGTTAATTAATTGGATTAAAGTTTTCCCGCCAAAAAACTTAGTATATGGAGCACTCTAACCTTGAACTTGTGCCCCCCTCCCCACACTTCTTCCACAACTCACACAGTATGTATACTGTTCCAACACTTCAGACATGTAACTTCTCCAAACACAGTCACCACACTCTGCTACCCAAACACTTCGTTGATCGAGTGGAGTTTTTCTGCCACAATAACTTTAAAATCTCTCGCTCTCCTGGTCAGTCAATTGCACTGGTATACTGATGTTTCGAAGCATCAATGTCTCCGGAAAGACATCCCACGGGGAGTACACTTGGTGCATTGACTGACCGT